CAAAAGCAAGAATCAGAAATAGTTTTTCTTTCTCGTAAATCTCCTGCTTTAATTAAAATGAGATGTTTTGAGCCTTTTTGCACATTCTCAAGCACAAATCTAGACAACTTTTTAGCATTAATTTTCAAAAATATCGTTAAGCAACAAATTTTTCTTAGAAACGCATACCGGTGAAATTCCGGTTTCATCCGGCCCGGTTGGCTTTTTCAACCGGACCGGTTCCAGCTCTGGTTTAGACAAAAAAAAGATGTCTAATCTAAGTCATCTATTTTCTTTTTAAATAAAGATGAAAGTTTTTATGTTCGTGATTAATATTTAAACAAATTTTTTTCTATATAGATTTTAATACAGCTATTATCTGTGGTATCGAAGCTCATGTTTGCGTATTACAAACAGCAATTGATCTTCTATCACAAGGTTATCGTGTATATGTTGTTGTTGATGCTGTTTCATCTCGATCACTTACTGATAGGTATTTATATCTATTTTATTTTATATAATTACATAATAATGATGATTTAGAATGTATGCATTTGATCATATGCGTCAAGCTGGTGCTTTTTTAACAACATTTGAGTCAATTGTTCTTCAACTTACGCAAGATGCTAGTCACCCAAAGTTTAAACAAATTCAACAACTAATTAAAACGTCTGCAGCCGATACAGGACTTTTTCCATTACTGAATAATCCGAGTTCATCGTTGTAAAGCAAAACATTTTTATATTAAATAAAAAAAATAGTTAGTATTTGCTGATGATAATAAAAAAGATAGTTGACTAATATCTAATTATTTATAGCTGTTTCAATTTCGAAATGTTTGATTATGAAAAAAAACTTCCTTTGCAGTCATTCGAATAGACGATCTAATTTTTTTGACGATCAATACACGGGTTTGACTGGTCTATCGGTGATGAGGGTTGTAGTCAGGAAGGTGCAAGGGATGTCTGCGTACTTTCTTGACCAAGAAATATCTGGAGAAGGCATGAATATAACAAATTTTTCACAAAAGAAAAAAATTATTTTGTTGCTGATATACATCACCTTCCTTACAAAATTCTTGGCTCTTCTATCGGTAATAGATCCATTCTTACAATGAAATTTTATTTTATACAAACTCTTGCAAATTACTACCTTGTATCATGAATTTGAAATATCTGAACCATTGTGTACTAATATTCAATGTATGGTTTTATATTAAAAAAATAGTGATGGGAATTTCAATCGCTGTTATTTTTTATTAGAAAACTACATGTTGAATTTCAGCACACAATCGCTCAGATATTTCAAATTCATGGTTTAAGTTATCAACTTGCGACAGTTCATTATAGAACAAGATTTCATTGTCCGATTTCATCTATAATATCAATATAGCATCTGTTTATGTACCAGAATCAAATGATCGGTTACTCTGTAATTTTTAGCTTCTATCAACTGTTTGATAAATGATGTGGATTATGCATTGGTCTTTAGATACTCATATTTGCGTTAATAAAAATGAACCATCGACTTACAAGACTCGCACTAAAGAATACATCATCAGCAAGTTATTTATAAGTGTAGAATAAGGTAGATATACAGGCCATAGACTTAAATATTTGTAGTTGGAACATATATGATGACTGAGTTATAAAATTTAAAGAAAATTTCGATGGTACTTAAAGCAAATTGATACTTCTTGTCTCTCACAGACAAAAAAGTACCTTTTCCCAATTCATTTTTTCATTACTTAATACGCTATGTTAAAAAAATGAAATATACTACAAGATACAACGTGAAAAACTCTGCAATCTACAAAGAACAGCTTATTTTATAGTTGCGCTTTTTGTTCTCAAAATGACAGAATTCCGAGCCATTAATTTGTGACACTTCGAAAAAAGTAATTTTTTGGTACACGGCGAATTTCTTTTCTTATGTGATCAATTAATGAATCATGTTTTTTAATTTTATCCCATTCTTAGGTCAACGAAAATGACTTTCAATACAACTCATTAACCAAAACAATAAGAAAAGAAACTGATCATATATCAAAAAATGATCTTGTTCGCAGCGCCAAAAATCAGTCGTACAGAATTTTGTCCATTCTGAGAAAAAAGTGCAATTATAAAATAAGCTATCCTTTATAGATTGTAGAGTTTTTCACGCTGCATCTTGTGGTGTATTTTGTTTTTGTTTTAATACAGCGTATTAGGTGATGAAAAAAGGTTCATTTTGTCCGAGAGAGAGAGAGAGAGAGTTTATATTAATCATGCATCTTATAATCGGACTATTAATTGGTATCACGAAAATAGATTCATATCTTTCTCACTGAAGATCGATTTTTCTTTAAACTTTTAGATAATAGACAATACTAAATATCTATCGAAAGGTATGAATTGCGACTCGACCAAAACTTATTTAGTGAAAATGTAAAATATATTGTCATAGTTAAGTTCTTGAAAATTGAATATAGTGATGTATGCAAATCTCCGCTCAGAAGACGTGAAAAACTAGATCATTGTATCATATGTAATAAATCAGTAAAATATGCTGATTAATAAACAAACAGTCAAGATAAAAGTGATTGAACAGTCGGAGAAGTGCCTGCCTACATTGAATTAGAAAAAGTATCAACGGATTTTTTTGGAATAATCTGCTTTAGGATTTACTATTGGAAGTTGATGAATTTTAACACTTTTCAATTGGCTACATACCTACATTTCGCTACATTTAACGCGGTCCGATAAGTGAATTTTAAATAATTGGGCTGGCATGTTTTCGATACAATTCTATTCCAAATTTGGTAGTCAGATTTCAATGAACTTCCCGCTAGATCCATTATGAAATCTCGTATTATCCATTTCTTTCCAAGAGAAAGATCTAAGAAATTTTGAGAATATTGGATAATCGGATTCGACAGGAACTAATTGGATCTTTTCCGATGCAATTCGATCCGGAATCCAGTCGTTAAGATTCCAACCAAATCCAGGTCGAATCTGATAGGTTTTTCCAGAAAAAACGTCCATTTCCGGCTGTGGATGTGAGGATAGAGAAAATCTATCCTTGCATCCATACTCTGATTACCAGTGTTTTAAATTGTCATGTAGTAGCTATTAGATGCTGCCATTATATGACCTGATCTTATATATAGTTTATTTAAAAAATGAAAACAAAACAATGACAATTAAGCCTAATTTAATACGGCCACAGCTAAGCCATGCTACAACAAACGAACAAACTCATAGAAAATTCATTTTTTGAAGTTAACTTCGTCAACTTATAGAAACCTATGAATTGATTTTCAAATGACGCTTCCCACGTCACTAATCCATGGATCGAATATCTGAAAGATGCTACATCTTTATTCACCAGTAGTTTAAGGGTCGGATGTAGATTCTTATTCACTAACTCAAAAATACTAGACAGGTAGCCTCTTTGGGTCAAACAGAATTACATGATATATCCACTTTCTGTGATGATCTTAATTATTCAATTGTTCACTTATACGCAGCATTCATTTTTCTGAAATCAAAACTGATCGATCTACAATTCAATATCCATGATGAATATCTCCGTATGATTTCACTTCATTACATCGAGTACACAGAGATTCGAAAAGCAATAGAAAGCTTGTTTCATCATTTGAAATAAAGCTCAGTCAAAAGACACTTTTTGTAGCCATTCTCAATTCCCATCCTTCTAAAGCTGTATTGGTTCACAATGAAAAGCAAACACTGTAGTTCTGTTTCAAAACCAATCAAGCGAAAACAAAAAAGAACAAAACAAACGTAGTTAAACGAGCAGCACAATTGAAATTCTTCTAAAATATTGAAACGAAATAGGCATGAATGTAGATGAATAAAAGCCGCATACATTTACAAGCACTTTTACACACGTTGATATCTTCATGTTCACTATTAGAAGCTTCAGTTTAGAAGTCGGTCATGCCATCACGCCCAAATCCCAATTGTATTCGATTTTGTTTTATAGTACGGGCAAGATGTTGGGTTCTTTGATAATCGATTCCATTACTCCCGAGGTACAGTGTGTGTAGTGTCTGTTCTGAACAGGCAGTGAATGACAGATAGAGAAAGTAGGGATATTACTGCGTTTTGTTCTAGACCTTGGCGAAGATGTCGTGTTCCTTGATCATCGATTTGATTGAGAAAGAGGCTCACTATGATGAATACTTGTTTTGGAAGGTGAAGATATTACTTAGACCATACCAAAAATAGTGGCAGAGATACTTTAATTCTTTATAAAAAGCTTAAAGAAATTTTCTCTGCATATGGTCCTATAGAAAAAAAGAATGCTTTACATTTCCGTAATATTTGATCATTCCTCAACTAGAATCATAACAATAAAATTTCGATAAAAGCTATTGTCTATGAAATGCAAAGATAATACTAGATCATATTTTGTCATCGATGTGTATTGTCTTCTTTATGTTCTCTCGTTCATTTCCTCTCTTCGTTTTAACGTTTTTTTCTCCTCTTCTTTGATGCCTATGTGTGTATATGGAGTTTAATAATGTGTTCTAAAGAAACTTGAAGAAAAAAAGTTAGGCTAAATCTCAATACTTTTTATGAATACTAAATGAATAAGGAAAATTTTCTCTTCTACATTAAGTCATTGAATCTTGGTAACTACTAGCACATGTGAAGACCGAATCGGTAAATATTAATTAAATGAGTTTGCCAAATAGGGTTACCTAGATAGAAATAAAACATTCAAAGAGTGAAGTTAAGACCACACCCGTAATTAGATAAGTAAAGAGACTTTTGATTATTATTAACAGAATTCATTCAATTCGATAGAACTAAACAATGAATAATAGCAGTATATGAATTGTGCGTCAATAGACTAAAATTTTCGACCTTTTGAGAAACGTACTGTTATCATCAACAGTGTTAAGATATCATTCCTTGAATATCTACTTTTATTCCAAAACAAACAATAGCCAAGATTTGAACAATATGAACTGTGGATATCTGAACAAGCATTGACTATACACTGTAATTAGGATTAAGATTAATCATCAATCAGATAAGCTTAATTCATGAAGTTATGAACCAGATATATTCAACGATCAATGAATTTAAAACCTAATTAGTGATCAGTAATCATCAACTAATTAATAGCCTAAAAACATTGACAACTAATAACAATAGATAAACTCTAATACAATGAATATCTCTAACAAATCATAACAAATAAACTATTTATGTAGAATATATATACTGCTCTTTCATTATTTTATTGTTTATTACTATCGACTCTCTTTTCATACTTATCATTCGATTTGTTTCTTCAGTTTTCATAAACGGAAGATTTTCGATCCAAGCACATACATTTTCTGAGAGCGGTGCGCTCAATGCAAAGTAGTTGTAGGTGCATTCAAATTCTATCATTCTGTGCAGCGAGTCATTAAGTGTTCTTGTAAATTATTCTTTCTGTTCAGTCGAGTAATAGTAATATCGAAGAAGGAACCATATTCTCTCTATATGTCTTTTTCATCAAGAGTAGTGCATGAAGTGAACGCGAGAAAATGATGAAACAATTATGTCTTTAGCAAAATATTTTAACTCATCGGAATGAACTACGTGGAAAATAGTATTCGATGTGATCGGTACAAAATAAAAGATGTGAAATGCGACGGAATCACTTTACATTGTAATGTAACGATCATGTTCCAAAATAATAAAAAAGACATGTTGACATGCTCTGTGA